TCAAACTTCACATATGTATAAAACAACAAAACCCAATACCTAACCGTACCACAAGTTCACCTTTTGGGTAAATGCACACCCATCAAAACCTAATGTGATCATTACTAAGATCCCTACCGAGTCAACCATAGAGAAAATTTACAACCAATCACTATCAGCTTTCACCTATTCCACAAAGTCTATATCCCTGGGACCGGGATAGACGAAAGCCCCGGTCCCAGGGCTTGTCTTTCTCTCCAGTCAATCGACTGGAGAGAGCCACCTAAGCCTAGGTGGTCAAACTCTAATAGAGAGACCACCTAGGCTTAGGTGGCCCTCCCCTCCAGTCGATCGACTGGAGGGATGGCCCTGTGGGCTGGAGCCTAAGCCTAGGTGACCCCAGGGCTTGTTATCCAGTCAGAACAAAGCCTAGGGCCACCTAGGCTTAGGTGGCCTTCTCCTCCAGTCAATCGACTGGAGGTAAGGGGGTCCCTAGGCTGTGTTCTCCGGTCAATCGACTGGAGAACAAGCCCTGGGACCGTAGGCTTAGGCTCCAGCCCTGGAGAGCCATCCCTCCAGTAGATCGACTGGAGGGAAGGGCCACCTAAGCCTAGGTGGCCCTAGGCTGTGTTCTCCAGTCGATCGACTGGAGAACCAGCCCTGGGACTGGGATAGACTAAAGCCCCGGTCCCAGGGCCATCCCTCGAGTCGATTGACTGGAGGAAGGGACCACCTAAGCCTAGGTGGTCTCTCTATTAGAGTTTGACCACCTAGGCTTAGGTGGCTCTCTCCAGTCGATCGACTGGAGAGAAAGACAAGCCCTGGGACCGGGGCTTTCGTCTATCCCGGTCCCAGGGATATAGACTTTGTGGAACAGGTGAAAGCTGATAGTGATTGGTTGTAAATTTTCTCTATGGTTGACTCGGTAGGGATCTTAGTAATGATCACATTAGGTTTTGATGGGTGTGCATTTACCCAAAAGGTGAACTTGTGGTACGGTTAGGTATTGGGTTTTGTTGTTTTATACATATGTGAAGTTTGACATGATGAAAATCGATTTCTTGAAATTTTCATGTATTATTTGTGCCAAAGTGCCAAGTCAGTGGTCGATATTTGAGTTGTGGTCTGGAAATTGTGAAAACTGGCAGAAAGATAGGTTTTATCCCCAATACAGGCGGTTTCAGACCAGTATTGGGATTAAATCTGATGTTTATTCCAGTTTTGTCAATTTCTGACCCGGGGATTCTGAAATTTCAATTTTGAAATTTCAAGTTGTCACTTTGGCACATGTCGCATTCCGTAGACTTGTACATTTTGCTGATATATTTATTTAAATGAAAATTGACCTAGGAAAACAAGGGTAAGTTTTGCTTGGTACACGATGTTTGGACTACAAAAGGCCACCGCTATGCCTTCATTGGAGCCACCGCGAATTTCATTGACAACGACTGAAATTACCGTTCAACACACCTTACCCTTAAAATGGTGGCTTGGCGGCATTTCGGTGCCCTTCTAGCCAGGCCAATTGGACGCTTTCTCATTTGTCACGGGCTTCATAAAAAGATATGTACTTGATTTCATTTATTGCAATCTTTTATTGTCCTGAATTCTTTTTTTTAATCTTTCTTACATGCTTGCTCAGGTTACCTACAGTGGCGGAAACAACAGACCTATGGCTTCTGAGATGCAGACGATGTTTGCTTGTGCTGAAGACCCGGCCACGTGGAGTCCATCTTCGCATCACGTGAAGTGCTATGCCCATAAGCTCAACCTCACGGTTGGGCATGGGCTCAAGTTAATGGGGCAGAAGGTTAGTGTAGCTAAACCTGGTATACCTCATGGTCAGCCACTTCCTATCCCAGCGCTCGAGGCCAACGATGGCGAGGATGAGGTGCAAATTGACGACCCAGAATCAGAAGACGAGGACGACACTGGTCTACCTGAAACACCCGATGGAGTTGATCAACAGGATACTAATGAGGGATTGGAAATCTCTGGTAATCTTTGTGAAAAGGACAACTTGGTGGCCATGGCTCTCTCAGAGGTGAGTATTCTTTCTCTCTCTCTATATATTTGTCTTCAATATATTTGCTATTTTTGCTAAGTAAGCTTGATTTCTTACTGTTTAGGTTGATACTGTGAGTGGCCAGATAGCCAGCAGTGCAGCCAGAAGAAGCGACTTCCAGTCACGTTCGACTCGGATGGGTTATCAAGGCCGTATGCTCAAACGGCCTTGCAAAACCCGCTGGAACAGTCACTACAAGAGTCGCAAAGTGGCTTGTGAGGCACAAGAGGTAAGGCACATTATAATCTGAAGATTAAATTAAACTAACACTAACATTGTTTTGTTCTGTTAGGTAATCAACTCTATGCTTGCCGCTGATTGTAAAGCTTTTTTTAAGGGGGTCAACATCTCTTCTGCCAAATGGCATGCAGTGGAATTGGTCAACAAGCTTCTCAAGGTGTGTTTTTCTCTCTTTGTTTTATTAAGACTGTCTATTCAACTTATGTTCATCTTTTGTAGACTTTTGTTGATGCCACGTCGCGAGTCAATGGCAACGGACCAACCGGCTGTATACTCTTACAGGAATACAAATGCGTCATCACTGAGCTCAACAGCCATCAAGCCGATGCCACCGAATTCAAAAGCCTTGTGGGTGCGATAGATGAGATGATTCTATGGCTAGGCAAGTACCCGGAAGAGGCGTTGCAGACCAATAGTATCCTTCTTGCCACTATCCTTAACCCTTGGTTCTGCGGGAAATTCTTCACTGTACATTATCCCAATTTCGAGCATGCTGCCAATTCGGCAATCAATTTGGCTTTTGACTGTATCTTACTGGAAACTGAACATTGTGACACATCCCCATCAGCTGACGAGGGGAATGCTGCCGATGAGGAACCCGATGACTTTGATATCTTTGGCTCTTCCAACAATCCAACACCAATTTCCAAACCTTGCGCAACTGGCACGCGATTACCTTTCTATATCAGCTACCTTGTGTGCTTGTGAGCGCACCTTCTCCGCTGAGGCTGACATATGTACTCCATCACGCCCAAATATGCTTCCAAAGACGATGGAGCGTCTTGTGGGTTCTCAGTCTTGGTTGAGGAAGGGATTGTCCCTGGTGGCGATTTTGAAGAGGACACACAAGCTCTTCAACACTATATTGATAGCTTGGTAAAACACAAGAAGGTTTAATTTTAATTTTAATTTTCATTTTCTATCAATAGCTCCTGTTCTTTCTTATTACAAGGTTCTGCTTCTATTTGTTATTTATTTTTTGTTGCTTGTTCCTTTCATCACTTTTATTTTGTTTGTTAATTTTTTTTAACTCGTGAATGGATTTTTTGGCTTCAATGAGGTGTGTGCGGCGCTTTATAGCGTTGTGCGGCACTATATAGCGGCTCAGAGTGGTGCGCCGCTATATAGCGGTGTTCTTAGTGGTTACACAACTACAAACTCCCAAGTGAGAAAAAAAAAGAGCGGTTGAGTTCGTAGTGCTTTAGAGTGTTACTGGCGCTCTGCACCTGAAATAGCCCGAATTCTTGTGCGTAGCGTAGCGGTTGCGTTGTTGCCTCTTCAAGAAAAAACTCATGAAGGTGTCAAGTTTCAATCTAACAAGTAACTGTGTTTCACATCCTAAATCCATTGATTTAGATAGTGGGGAACAGTGGACAAGTGCAGATACTGGTAACCATCGAAATCAATCGCACTACAACTTTTTGCAGTGGAGCTGAAGCTGTTAACGCTCAACAGAGTGTGCCTCCTAAGCCCCCAAACGCAGCTGTTAACGGTTGTAGCCAGCTTGCAGGAGCTGTGCTATGGTGATTCAGTCTATAGATATGTTATAAAACCTCTGCGTCAACGTGGTGACACAGCAAGGCCGTCTGGAAAACCACTGCATCCACGGTTAACTGGCCTGTAGCGTGTTGCAGCACAGCTTACCCAGTGTGGTTTGTGTTTTACCTGATCAATTGTCTAGATTGCTACATCACTGGTTACAAGTATCTGCACTTGTCCACTGTTCCCCACTATCTGAATCAATAGATTTAGGATGTGAAACACAGCTACTTGTAAGATTGAAACTTGACACCTTCATGGGTTTTTTCTTGAAGAGGTGTAATCACTCCATTCTACACTTGAATGACATACTGCGCCTGTGGCAATACCTGAAGCTTCCCGCCACAAAGCGCAAACACAGAGTGTCTTGCTCTGCATGCACCCCAGTCCTAGCCAAAGAGCAGGTCTAAGTGCCCCTCCTGCGCTACCGGCTTCTCTGCGCTCATATAGCCAAGCACAGTTTTAGAAGGGCAATTTCAAGGCTTGCTGTGCTCTCAAGTTTGGCATGATGTATCCAGCAAGCCAATCTGTAATCTGCTAAAAGCTTTCAAGAGACAAATATCAGAACATGCCTCTTTGGTTGGATAGTGGTTGATATTCTACCGCAGATGAATGATTGAGATCCAAGAAGATTTTTTATGCTGATTGATCCCTGTATGTTGGTTTTACCTTCAACGTATGGTTGGGCTTCTCCCTGCTCAATAGGCATACACTTATTCCTGTGTTCCCATGAAATTGAATTATGGAACAATCCACCCCGCTCTGAATACCAAAGATCATATGTGGCGGGGCACAAACGGTGTGGGTGTGTCTTGTAAGCGGAGTGTGAGAGGGTGTGGGGTGTAGCAGGATTGCGCCCTGTTACAAAGAAAGAAGATAAAAAGCAGATAAAAGTGCAGAGCTTCATGTGTTGCATGTGGATGTAGGATAAGTTAGTTTGATACAAGCACAGCTTTCTTACACTTGTGGGGAGAAGTCAAAACTGTAAGTTGTGCATCCAAGTTACAGAATCATATAGTGTAAAGTGAGAAGCCAAAGAGAGAGTTTAAAAGGTGTTGTGTGGCAATGATCAATGTCATTTGCTTCAGCACATTTAACACCTTAGTTAGATAACTCAACCTCTTTATCAAAGACTCTAGTCATAAAATCCTTGTGTGGAATTGCCCATTATATCATTATGAACAAAATAATGTTATCATGGGTATGGTACCTTATGGGTTCATTCAGTTTTTGCGCATTCAATCCATCAGAAAGATCAATGAAAGGCATGATTGAAGGGAGCAATTTGCATGGTGTGGTACAAGATAATGCCCAAAACAACATTCACAACAGGATCAAGGCATTGGAAATCTTTGCGCCATTGAATGAAAAACCTAAATATGTATCTAATCGAAGACCTTGGCATTCAATGCTTGGTGATCTATTCACTGGTATTGTGTCACCCTGGGTAGGACCAAGTGCAATTCAAGAACTTTGTAGTGATGCTCAAAAGTATCATTCAGAAGTGAGGTTGATGATTCCAGAATTGATACATCTGAAAGATGAAATGGGAGTCCGACTTGTGACTCAAGAACAATTGAGAAAGATCATTGTCAATCTACTGGAATTTCTACAGCAAGATCATTTGGAACTTTATGAAAGACTTTGGAGTCTGAGTGTCCTTAGAATTGTGCAGTCTTTATTACCAATTGGAATGCACAATCCAATCAGAGAAGATCCTAACACAGGTGGAGTCTCCCGGGGTGGATTGGAGCTCTTTCTGTTGAAGGGTGTGTTTCATTTGTAATCTCTTATGGACAGGACATATCTGTATTGATTTTGTCTTCAGAGCTTGAATTTAAGCCTAGGGTGGAGAGCGTGGTAAACAGGAAGATACAAATTTCCCCTGTAGATGAAGGTAAGAACCACACCACCTTTTCATTTGCATCTTATGTGCAACAATGAGATGTGGGGAGCTGACATGACAAAAATGATCTCAGCTGTTACTGAAGCTCTTAAGCGAGTTGAGCTTGTTGTTACCATAAGAAACCACCTTTTGAAGACTCAAAAAAATCGTCAAAACTCTAAATTATTGAAAATCCATGACCAATTGATTCAAAATAGGTCCCTGAACAAACCAGGGATCATTGAGTCATTACCTTCAAAATCTATGCATCACAGATTTCCAAAAGATACTCCGGATGAAGATATCCAATGTTTTTCTTGTGTCATCCAACACCTAGAGTTATTTCATGGGTAGGAGATCTGCCTACCAGCAATTTCACACCACACAATCAGGTGTAAGATCCCTTTGGTGAAAACTGAATCTCAGGTGGGGGTAAATTGTGGTTGGTCACTTGTTATTAAAAAAAATGGAGTCAATTCAGACTTTTATTGTACTGGTGTTTTTGGGATACTTGACAGTCATCAATGGTTTGTAGCAATGAGGTCACAGCTGTTTACCACCATGCCAAATTCATCCCATTTCATTCACTTCTGTCACAATTTTTTTCTTTTTTCTCTACTTTTGGTTTCCCTCTTATCCCTAGTTACCATTCCTTTTGATATCCATTGTCCATTTGAAAATGTGGTTTGATCAAGCAGTGTAGTTTCATTCTTTAGTGCAATATTTCTTCTCATTTTCCTTCCAAGAAAGGCTATGTTCAGATCTATTGTTTTTCAATTGTTTGACAGCTTGTTTCTTTGCATATTCCACTTAGGTCATCAAAATTTAGCCATCATTCATGAGCTTATATGTGTCCTCTGTCTCAATCCTTTAACTGTGGCACTCATTGTTGTGAGGTGTTATTTTTCCATCATGCCCGCTACCTCCCTGTAGGGTGTTCATATTCTCATGGGGAATTTATTACCCTTGGCATCGCACCTTGATACATTGCCCAAAATCATTGCTTTGGATCTGAAATAATTTTCTCTGAGTTTCCCAATTCATGTCTCTCCATTTTTCCACCAATTCCATTTTTTCAGCAGGTGAAATTTTGTATGGTGTCAAAAATTGTCCTATATAGGGTACTGATCTGAGGAAGTGCCTTTTGATCAAAATGCACTTCTTCACATCACTACCCTATATAGGGGCATTCCTGGGTCCTGTTACAGCCTTGTACCCAGGTGCAATATGTAAATTTAAACTGTCTTTTTGACACCAGAGCATTGGGTGTGAAAGAACATGGTGTAAAAGTCTTTGACCTGGTAAAGATTTATAGTTTTCCACTTGATACATTGTGTGAGCCTACTAGCGTCTGTTGGGCTAGTAGAGTCAATAAAAAAGAGACAGAAGTTTAAACAAACTTCTACTAGACTTGTGGGGATTACAATGGGCGTAGAAGCTTTACTTGTAATAAACAAGTAATAACTTCAGTTAAATGCCCCTTTAATAAAGGATTTTACGCCCAGGGATTTTGGGTAAGTGTTCTTATTAGCAACAATTAAAATGGAACAACTGACGCGCAGTTCTCAAGCCTGAATTGAGTCACTTCTTGTACAAAGAATGATCAATAAAGGAGGTGTTAAGGTCTGTCTTAACACCAGGAACTTTAAACTCTGACTAATAGAGGTTCCCCGTGAATTTAGAGTTTCTGATATCAGAGGAATCCCCAATCTGATATAAGCCTTACGTGTGATTCCACCAAATGGATATTACAAAAATGGCTGATTATGGAGTCTAATCAGACAGAAACAAGGTTTATATGTGCACACAATAAAGTCAACAAGACACAAGGTTGAAGATTCAAAGTTTGTAGAATCTAGATGTTAGACAAAGTTTAAAAGTTCTAGGAAGATGAAATGAGCAATTTGTAAAGTTGTTGAATGTTAAAGTGATGATTCAAAACTGGTGGGATCTTCAGGGTTTATATAGTCTGAACCCTGGGAATCTTTGAGCTAGAAGTGCGCAAAAATTGTGGTTCTAAGGTTAGGTTAATTACAGTAACACAGTTACTATTGGTTTATAAGTATATTTCACTTGTTACTTACATGTTACATCTGTGAAATATATGTAGCTTTGGTTCACATCAAAGTTGTGTACGTACACACTCTTTGATGTAAGTTTGCACATGTTACATATGCCAAATCATATGTAACTTGACTCTTGAAACTGAGCCTTGAGTTGTAATTGCTGTTTTCAAGGTTTTTCATTATATTTGTCGCCCATTGGTACGCTGGTTTAGTACTCAGGGCTGACACATTGTACTGTCTCAACTTGGTGCAAACAGATTGAAACCTTCTAAATGAATATGGCGACTTCCCTCTTATCTGGATATCAATTTTGAGGGACTTACCAGAATATACCACAATCTATCCACAAAATGCTTACTTCGCATAATGTTCCCCCTAGCTCTGTGAAAGCTTTCTTATACACTTCAAGAAACTTGATTCCACATGATCAATCACTCACTAAGCCTCCTGATTGAGCCTTTTATAACAAATGATGTTGCTATATTGAAAGCCTCCAAGACTGCCATCCAAAAACCGCAAACTCACATCTGACAATTGCTTCAAGGACTTTCTCTGGTGGAGTCCGCCTCAGAGTCAAACACAGCCTGGCCAGCAGATCAATGACTGATGCAGTACTCCAGAAACCATTTATGAAGATGACAATTGCCACATACCAAATGTGGACCAATGACATAGTGGCTGGAAACTATAAGGTGGTAAAGTTGGTTGATCCTGCGGATGCTGAAGAAACAACCCAACACAATGAAGTGACACCTGCTTCTAACATCCAGTATGGAACAGCTCAACAAAATTAATCATCACCTGCTTCTGATGGAGACACTTCTGATGATCAATCTGATGACTCTTCTGAAGTTGACTTGCTTGACCTCTTTCCTTCTACTCAAACTCAATGATACAGTGACATTGATTTTTAATTTTTTAATATGCCTACCACCTGGTCCGTGGAGCTCACTCCTGACATGTGAGCGTGTGAGTGGATGGAGTAATGCTTGCAAGTCCACTCACAATAGGCTTGCAAATTTCCTCAGTGGCCAAAGTGCTTGGTCTCACCGGTTGAACTTAGCTTAGATGGGGCCGGGCTTAGCCGCCCTTTATGGGCCACGACTGCTCTGAGCCCTTGTCTCAGCAGTGCTGTGCCATTCAGCAAGCTCAAACAACCACAACCAACACAACCAAGTTACCAACTCATACGCACTCATCAACATCAGTCTGGAAAGTCCACAGGCCAACACCAGGTGCGCAGACCTTATTACCTACATCCTCCTTTGAATGTGGGCATTTCAATTCGCAATCAGATTCTATTTTTGAAATATATCATTTATTCAAGAAACAAAGTATTTTGCTCCCTTGGCAACTTCCTATCTTGTTAGCTTCCAACACCCATCCCAAAACAGTCGCAACAACCTTGAAAAAAACTGTCTCACTCACACGTTTCTCACAATGTTTTCACTAGTTTGTCAAAGGGATGAGCATGAGATACAGATTCACCTCAAGCCATTGTGTAGCCTTGTAGCTGTGTTGAATGATTCATCAATGCCCTTGTCTCATTGATTGTCAAATATGCTGTGTTGAATGATTCATCAATGCCCTTGTCTCATTGATTGTCAAATATGCTGTCCTTGAGTTTGGTTAGTGATATGAGTAGCACATTAATTGGAATGTACCTTGGACACCAATGATCAAGTTAACTTTATTTAACTTAAAAGCGTACAAGAATCTATGAATCCTGATGTTTTGAGCTTGTTTTTGTAGCTTCAGGAAAATCTGCAGCTGAAGCTACCTACGATGAGCCCACAAATTGTACTCAATCATATTTGTGGGCCTTGAGTCTGTTGATAAAATGATCTGCCAATTGAGATGATTCCATAAAACAAACTGTGAAAATTGTGAGACCCTGACTTGTATGCTGGGCAAAGACCCCACACCACTTGATCTGTACCCCCTTCATTGGGCAACAAAGACTCATTCTGTAGGATTAGACTTGACAATCCAGCACTATCCGTAGTTATTCTTACATCTCTTTATCTCTCCTTCCCAAGTTTTGATTTGTTTGGTTATGCTGCAGCATGGGCGTTCTATGCTTGATAACTCCTGGGTTTTCCTTCACATACACAGCTTGATTCCACATACATAACCTTTCATGTGCTTAGATAGTCTGCTCATCTTCTTGTCTTTGAATTGTCAGAAGTTCTTTATACACTTAGTATGAGCACTATGGGAAGTTTTGGAAGAAATAAAAAATGAGATTTTTCATCAAGCAAACCAGAAATCACTATTGACAAGCAAACCCAAAGTAACTATTCACAAGTAAGAAGAAATATTCACAAGTAAAAAGAAAATTGAAAAATATGAAAGACATTGGAAAAGGACCATTGTAGAGCATGTAGGCATAAACTATGTCCGTAAAGTCCTGAGCTTTTGGATAAATGGCTTCAGATCAAACACTGCAGTGTTTGAAAGTTTCAGTCCTTGGCATTTTAACTTGTTGATTTGATTTTGTTCATAATCCTTGTCCGCTAAGCATTTTGGGAAGTGTTTTGGAGGATGACAGTAGAGTAACTCAGCTTGTGTCAACTGACGGCGCGGACCACGGTCAAGTGCTTTTGTTGCAGCTGTCCATCCTCGAGCATCAAGTTGAGAATCCACAGGTGATGTATCAAGTTTGCCAAAGAGTTCATCCACATCAGCTGATTGCCAAACCAGAGGTACACAGACATATTTCCCGTCCTCAATCTCATCTTCTGAATGAACAATTGGGTTTGACAAATCAATCAAAGGTTATTTTCATTTGGAAAATGTTTCTTGATGGATGTGTTGTGGATGGCTGCTACCTAAGAAGGTCAACCCATTTTTACAATCAGTTAATCAATGATACAAATACATATCAATGTAATTGATACTCACTGTTGTTCTTGATTTCTTTTGCGAGGTCTTCCCTTTCGATCATGCTCTTTCATTGTCCATTGGATTTGGGAATTTAGAAGTATCAGCCGCATTCTCTGCGGAAACATACTCACGTCATTTATTTGAATACCATCTCTTGAATATTTTGAACTTATTTTCTGGAGTAACCTGAGAATCTTTTATCAAGTAATCATCAGCATCACCACGTTTATAACATTTTTCCCACTCCTTAAGCAAGATTGTCAACATGGCTTCATTCCACTCATATGACTTAAGGGAGCTGGTCCAGTCAAAAGTACATTAGCTGAAACCATCAAGAGCCAAAGCATCTTCACACGTGGAGGCAACACTATTTGAATATTTGACCTTGGAATTCCGGATTGCCACTTGAGAGGTAAATTTCACTGGTTGGATCTTTGACATCGCAGCTCAAGCGGCATCAGCCTTGACCTGTGCAAGTTGATTCAAATGTGGCATTGGGTGTTTGCGGCAAAAGACCGCTAGAGCTCTCTCAACATGATTGTCAATGATTGCTCTCCTATCATACTTACATTGGGTCCAGGTATTGATCTCATCAACTGACGGGGGTGAGGGAAGGGTCGGCTTAATATCTTGACCTCATGTTTTTCTGAAGATTCCTAAGAGTAATTTGTGAAAGTCCTGGATTGATAAGCTAAGTTGCTCAAATTGAGACAGTGCAGCTTCTCCTCGTGCACAAAGATCTAGTCTATGCTCGGAATGTTGTTTAGTAGTATTCTTGGCCCAAATAGAAGCTTGATTTTGACGGTGTTCTTTGTCTTCAGCTAGATCAAAAGAGCCCTCAGACATTTCTTCATCAGAGTCTCTGTACCCTTCATCTGATTTGTCAAGATCCTTGTCAGGGTTTGGTTTGGAGCCTTCAGGTGTGTTATGGTGGCTGGGTGTTGGATTGGGAGGCCAATGAGAAACAGAGGTTCTCATACTCAAAGGAGTCTCTTGTGTGGTGTCAAGGTGGCGCATGGGAATTCTTTGTGCTGATTGTGCTGATTGTGGTGGACTGATTGGAACATTTGAAGACCCTATGTTTTGGGGTGTAAACTTTGACTTTTCCTGTGAGACTCTTCTGGTTGAGTTTGAGGAAGATTTGACATGTGAAGTGAAAGGTTGAGGTGTGCTTCTGAATAACGGAGACTTTCTGTTTGATTTAGTTTAATCGTTGAGCATGAATTTCTTTGATTTAGAAGATGATCGTGGTTTCTGTGAAGTGTTTGTCTGTTGAATGTTGTCCAAATCCGCTTCAGTCTGTTGAGTATTGTGGCCAAAAGCCATTGATGCAGGCGGGATGTCATCCTCGATTTCCATTGATAAATCTTGAGACTCATTCTCGGTGTCCATGGGTATATCTGGAAAGTTTTCTTCAACCTCCATTGGTGTATGTTGAAATGAACTGGCTTTATGTTGTGATTGACCTGCAAAGAAATTATTAATGAATGGCAATATTGACATTCAAAGTATTAATATACTGATGAGAAAAGGTGCGGCTCTGTTTCAAACCTTGAGCATCTACAAAAAAACAAAAAAATAGCCCTCTGTGCAATGATTTCATAAATCCTTCAAAGAAAAGGTATCAGACCTGGGCTTATGTCATATGGACAAAAGTGTTTTGACTGGACAGGGGACCAATGTAAGGAAGCAGTTACTCTCACAGGGTCCAAATTTTGCACTCACGACGTGTTAGCAAAGCTTTTTCCAAGATTGTGTCAAGATTGTTGTATGTTTGGTGCCAGGCTACACTTTGTGCAGCTTTGGAACACACTCTTTACACCTGGTTGGTGTTGAGCGAAGTCAATCTACAAATAATCAGTATGAGTAATACCTATCTTGATACCAAACATGTATGATTCCTTTGCTAATGTGTCGTGAGTATAAAATTTGGACCCTGTGTCTTGTCTTAGTGGATTTCTTTTTTGACATGAGTTGGGCCTTCAACCTTGCCAGTCTTTGCGCAGCTGTTTCACTTGAAGAAGATGAAGGTGTGTTGGGCTGTGTCAGAAAGGGCCTAAGCCGCCTCAACGGCATATCACCTTCCTTACAATAAACCCATTACATATCACCATACTACATGTAATACCCAATTACATGTAGTAATTGTAATACTTAATTACATACAAACAAATACATGTAGTCATTAATTACATGCATAAGTGCGCAAACTGTCTATTTTCTCTCTCATTTCATATTCAGTTATCATTTCTATATACTTAGGATCCCGGTATCCCCACCCCCCCTTGGTAGCCTCACCACCCCCTCCCTTTCACAGCTAGTGAAAGCCTCACTTACCAGTGACACAAGCTGTGACAGTAACACAGTCTCCAGACGTCCGTGTTCCGCACTCGAAGTGGTCTGGAGTATGTTTTCTCAAGTTTTCTCAAGTTTTGTCACACAAGATCCTAGATGAATCAAGATTAGTCTGATCAATTGAAAATGAAGACCAAATGAAAATCAATTCAGCAGACCAATTGAAAATTAAGAATGAAGATGAATTAGTGAGAACGATTCAAAATCAATGAACCAGAACAATAAAATGAATTGTGTCGAGTGGTCTTTTTCATCCTGTACTACCTATTCTGCATTTCTTCTAGAGAAACTATAGATCTTGATGATTTTTTTGATTTACTAGGTATGGCATTGAAGCGGGTAGATTACAAGAAGCCATCAATCTTTCAAAAAACACCATAGGAAACAACAAATCAAATTCTAAGATCAAATTACAACCTTGTACGATTGCCTTCAAAGATTCCGAACGCTTTTTAAAGAATTTAGAAGAAATTCTGAAAGAGCACGATCAGATAACGAATTGATTTTTTACCGTGTAGATTCAGTAAGTAGCTCTTTTCAGCGGAAGATGTTTATAATCTTTGCTCAATCACATCAATCATTATCAGACTCATTCATTATCAGATACAAAGGACTGAAAGTTGTAACAAATTAAGATATTCTACTGAAGTAAGAGGCATGAACTCAAGTGATACTTGATTCAAAGTTCATAAGCAACCACAGCAAAATCACAATGTTGAAAAGCTTCATATTCATGACCCGTTCAAAACCAAGCATGTGAGCGAAATTAGCAGCCGCTTCAAAGTCTCCAAAAGCCACTATTGAATATTTCAGTTTATAAGAAGGCAATGAACAAGTAGCAGCTAGATCAGCTCTAATGCTTCTGGTAAGCTTGCTTAGCTGATACATGCTTTGAAATTGTTCAAGTAAATGATGATGGATCTGAGATAAGATACGAAAGTGCTGATAAGCTATTTGAGTATCTTGATGAATTGAGTTGTAAATGAAAGGATGTAAATGAAGACTAAGACTGCTTTGAAGTCGTTGACTTTGAATGCTGATTGAATCGAACTTAAGCAAAGTTTGTTGATCGTGCTGGGTCACGACACGTTCTTTTGTTGTGACCTGTTCCGTGACATTGACTACATGGACGACCATCATGTTCGGCATCCTGATGTTTGTATTGTGAAAGCTCACGCTTGGATTTGTTCGATGACCCTGCAGGCCGACCACGAGATCAAATTGGATCTGGATCACCAATGGTGGGAGGTGGATTGATGAGGATCCGACTCAAGTGATTACACAACACACTTTGCTGATGAGCAGGGAGATTTCCATGGCAAGTTTGTATGCTGTCTAGTGGTGCCTCCAAATTAGGTACCTGCTCGTGCATAATAGGGACAACTAATCCTTGATCTAGATGCCAATGAGAGTTGAAGTGGGTTGGAGACAATTTCCTTGAAGATGAGATGAGGTGCTTGAGGAAGTGAGCGCAAGGTAACCCTTGCGACCCAGAGAGTACGTAGGTGCATGTATTGGTGTTGTCCAAAGAAAGTGCCTTCTGGTATTGCTTGTAGGTATGTTCGCATATCAGGCTTAGAACTTTGAATGATGAACAGAGGAGAAAAATTGTTACAAAACATAGAAAGAACTTTACCTCAAGTAGCGCGTAGTGTGAAATTTTTCGGTTGACATCGCTCCAGATCCGAGGACGAAGACGAGATAAGGTATGAGTTTGATTGTATGCTATCTTTTGTGATATCTTATCATATTGCTGCTGACATAGAATTTCAAGCTTGCTATATACAGTTGCCAAATCACCGGTTGACTGCCATACCCAGCCTTTGATACCTGCATGACCACCTTCAGCTCGAGAAGTGACAGTGTGACCAAAGTGTTTGATATCCTTTGTCCACGCGGTGACAAATTTTTCCTTGTGAGGAACCCACGTAGTCTTGATGTATTTGAATGTAGGCTCATCAATCATAATCCGAAGTGCCTCAAGGTTTGTGTCAAACTCGTCGGCAGAGAGTGAGCTGCAAATGTTCATCCAGTGGTTCTGAACTTTCTTCAATTTGTCATCGGATAGCTTGTTTTTGACGTTGACTTGAACATTCTTCTTGATGTGCCACTTGCACAGTAGGTTTTTGGCATCTGGCAGAGCTTTTGTCAGCGCGTTCATCAAAGCAAGTTCTCGATCAGTCACCACAGCCTGTAGTTTTGCAAGCTTTGGCCCATAGCACAACTTCATTTGCTCCAGAATCCAGCAATAGTCTTCCTCTGTTTCTTGTCACATTAGACCAAAACAAAAGGAGATGGACTGATGAGTTGGTGATACTCCTATAACATGCAGAAGTGGCATATGAAAACTAAATTAGAGAGAGACCAAAGTCAGCTCAAGTCTTGATTTTAGACGAGTTCATTGAGGATACCTCACCAATTGGTTTTGTATGTCCATGTCTTCTTCCTCCAAGTGAGGAGGAGGACTGGAGACACGTGTCACTGACACGTGGAGAGGACTCTTACAGAGGACTCTTACAGAGCCTCGAAACCGCTAAGCTTATGCTGTTTGCTACGCTTGCTCTAGGATGTGCTAGAGTGAGAGTAGTGTGCTTCGGGAGGAGCCTAGCAGCTAACTTCAGTTACTGGAGCATCCCTCAGGATCCATCCTAAGTGACAAGAAGTTAGCGGTCTCTTAGGGAACGGGAAAGAGCCCATTCGAACCCACCTACAGGGAGTGAGGCTCAGAGAGCCGAGCCCCTGTGAAGGGGCTCAAAACCCATTCTCGAAGAGACAAAGCTCACGTAGGCCCCTAACTAGGAGCTAACGTCAATGCCGAAGCAGAACGCAAATCGCAAAGCGGGTCAATTCACAAAGCACGATGTGCCATAAATTACATGCGTCAGTGCCCATAATCCATATTCAGACGTCTTGCCAGGGACTTCGTTTCTAGTAGCGTCTGGAGCGAGTACCGCCAAACATAGAGCTTATAAGCAGACGATTTCCACCTGCCTGACCTCTTCAGCAACCGCGCTGAACATCCTAAGTTAGCTTTCAATGAAGCTCCACCTATCCGCAAGCTGTGCCCAGACCAGCCTGTGACCTTGACCGGTTTGAATTTCCGAAGTACAGCTAAGATTGATGCCTTGCGGATTGGCTCCTCCGGCAGGATACCTCGAAAAAGAGGATCGTCAGGCCGTCCATCGGTAGAATCGAGGAGTCTCCGCAGTGCCGCAATAGGGTCCAGAATGTTGGGTTGCCTACATAGTCGCAAGAACTGATATTCACCCGGCGCAGCCGTTTTTGCCATCCGAAGCCGAATTGTAGCTCGGTCGAAGGATGCGGAGAATTTGATGTCCTTCCTGCGAATAAAAACCGAAGGGTGGTCGGGATGTAAGGTGAGTTCACCTAGGCGAGCAAGCCCCCAGAAGCCCGTCAAGAGTAGGGCACGCAAGGTTAAGGATGGTAGCGATCTGCCGCTCAGCTTCCGTATCAGAAGGTGAATATCCATCAGCGTTAGACCTGTGCGGTCATCCCTCCCTGACACTAGCTCGCGAGTTTTCGTTGCCTTCATTAGAATACGTAGACGGTCAACGTCCAACCGGGGGAACTGCACATCGTGTAAGGTGTGCCACATACGTAGGCCCGTGAGATATTGTTTAGTCGTAGAGTTGATCACTGGG